AGTGAGCTGGAGAAGCAAAGATGCAGAAGTGGTTTACTGTGGAAAGTGCTATATAGACTGGAATCTAGAGAAGGCTGTCAAGCCACAGAAACTAAAGAGCAAGGGTTTATGGACATATTATGTTTGGAGAATTAATGATATTAAACTGAAAGAAAACATAGCATAAACCTATATGACTAGGGATACTTTACTGAACACTCTCTATGCTTCTGTTCTTCATTTTATTTGTTATTTTGTAACTTTTAGTAACCTATGAGGCCATTAATAGTGAGATGTAAATGTAAAACCATTTGAACAGGTAGAGATACTGATGTTGGCTACTAAGTGTTTCATAACTGAGACCCAAAAGGATTTTGATCCCTCCAAATCACTTCACTTCCTGTCTTATCGACGATCGACATGCTTGTGTCAGAGTTTATCACTCTTCCTTTGAGAAAATGACACATTCCTCCTTATTTGCCAGGAATGACAGATAGTGCTGCCTGGCAGAGTGGAGCTGTCTGGTTTTACTTGGCCCTCCACTCCAGGAAGCCTGTTTCTAATGACTGATGCCGATGAGACACCTGGGAACTGCAAGGGTCATGCTAAGTCACTACCCACTCTTCCTAGCACCATTTTCCCTGCTCCCTTCAAACTAGCACAAGAAACACCATGGCAGTGAAAATCCTACCTCTACCATGGATGCTGTTCTGGGAGTTCCAGCCCAAGGTATCATGGATAGTGAGTGACTAAATAAGTCACAACCATGCTTTCCTAGACTGTGTCTATATCTCTTCCAGAGAGACCCTGGGGTCTTCATAAAGAGGCCTTAAAATGGCCCAGCATTTCTGGCTAAAGGACATATTATTTTGCGAATATTTTGAAGCTGCACAGAAGTTGTTGCTTTATAGGAATGAAGAAACATGTATTGACATTTCTATGCCAAGACCTATTTTTTAACAAGCTAAAAAATACTGAAAAACAGGTAGAACCATTCTCTCCCGAGTATGCAGTACAGTTGGAAAGTACACTGTTTTTTCCCAGTGTGTATTTTGGTAAAATATGTGCACTGAAATTTCAGGGCAATTCCTAATGCAGAAATAACCCCTGATATGGCAGATTTATAAGCTAAGCAATTTTTATTTATTTGCTAATGTGGATTCCCTTAAGAGCTCAAATGTTCTGCTGGTTACTTAGGACTTCTCCTTGAAAAATCTTACCTGTGAGGTCTCAGCAGTGTGAAACTGCAGGCCGCAGAGTTGTCAGGGTTGAACATCAGCCTGAATTCTCCTCTGCCAATGACTTGGGTGGTTTAGAATCTATCAGTGCATCAGCTGCTCCTTTGATAGTTAATAATTCATAATTAAAGCGGCAATACAAATGAATCAACATGACTCTAGGCTTGGTGCCTCTTATTTCTTAATCTTTCTTTTGATTCTGATGATAGGGATGGGGAGGGGACAATGGGAAGGAATAGGAAGGCTTTTGTCCTGAGCTTTGCTTCTCTTAGCATTGGAATTCTGTTCATCCTGTTATATGAATCCTTCTCTCAGATAGGAATTCAGCACATGTCCTTGACAACCTCTAAGTCCAAGATGCAAGAATCCTTTTCCTGCATGCATCCAATCCCTAGGGAAAGAGACAGGGTGCTGTACTATACAACTTGCTTTGTCATCTTCCTGAGACAGGCTTGGATGAAATGACACAGGAAGGATGTCTTTCCTTATTGGGGAGACACAAACGGGGCAGCAGAAGGAAGATGACATTTGAATGGCTCTCTCAAGATGAGCCAAGCCTTTAAAGGAAAGGGGTGAGGAAGAAGAAAAACTAGAAAAGTTTCAAGGTACCCCAAGGTCCTAACACAATTCAAGAGCATGGACGTGTTCATGTTGCAATCTAAGGCCATGAGGGTCTGTGCTGTACTGTGTATGTGGCAGCTATGCATAGTTAAGCAGCTGTAGTCAGACTGCAGAGGCTCCACTTACACAGAGGAACTTGTGTGTTACATCTGGGACTGAAAGAGTCAGTAGAGGAGCAGACTGATTACATCATTACCTCAAAAGGTCATGCTGGGTACATGGAAGATCTAGATAAGATGGACTAAGACATGCAAAGGGACCACTTACAAAGCTCCAGGTGGGAGTCTATTGTAAATGTTTATTGAGAATTGATAAGAAACTCAAGTAGAAAATGATAATGAGAAGAGATAATTAAGACCAGAAGGTTTATCAAGGTAAAGAGTAAAATGAGGGGTGACATCATATCCTGAAGTGCCTAAGATCCATGGACATCATCCAGTTCAAGAGAGGGAAACCATCTTGCAATGTTATTGTCAATTTTTTTTTTTTGTAATCAGCAACAGCATTTTCATTGCTGCCATAGCAACCACTACTTATTGAGTGCTTACTTTACATCAGCCACTCTGCTAAGATAGCACTTAAATTCATGCAGCAAAGCACCTACCAGTTCACAGGAGAGGCACCAGAGTTCAAACAGATGAAAACAAGTTACTGATTAAGATCATACAGTAGATGAGAAACTGAACTCCAGAGCCATGCCTCTAATAGGTAGGATAGTATAACACTAAAATTAATTCTCCTTCATACCACAGATAGGTCCTGGCTTACTATGTTTCTCCTTGAAATTTTCCAAATTTTGCAACATTATTTCTCATATCATAGAAGTCTTGATCTAAATTTTAATTTGAGGTCTTTCCAAGGCTAGTGTTATTTGGTGTGTAGATATTGCACTGTGCTGGGCAGTGGCAGTGATCCATAGCTCCAGATCAACCACATGGTCAAGAAGGGAACACACCACTCCTCCATGTTTTGTGAGGTTGCTGAGCTATTATGCTTGGTATGTTTTGTACATTCATTGTAGTTTGAAGTTAATGATATTTAAAATTTACAGCTATGTTTATTGGACATAACTCCAACATGAGCCAAGGGACAGCCATACAATGTAAAGATGACAACAGTAATGGAGAGCTTAATGCTTGATTTGTTGGTCTCAAGGAGAATACTACTAATGGTAGTCAAGAAATCAATAGAAAGCTTCAGAGTTTTAAAGGATAGGTAAGAATTTAGGGGTTAAGAAATGCGAAGAGTATGAACGTGGAATGGTAAGAATGAAACAAAGGAGTTAACTTGGAAGAAGAAAGGAAGGCAGGGTAGAGGGGAGGAACATGGGGATAAATAACTAATATAAAGAAATCTCTGATCATGCCATATACAGCCCTACTACTATAGAAGTCTTCTAAAATTCATACATGTACATATAGGGAAAGAGCCGAAGCCGAATTACCCTATAATGGTGGATACTGCCTCTCCCAGGCATCATATGCTTCCAAATAAAAATCCAATGACTCTTTTTGAGTTATGGTCACTGGGGTCATAGACCACTCCTCCCATAAAAACACTCCAAGCTATTGCTGTTGTTCTTGGTTATCTTCTGGAACTGCAAGTTGTGACCCTATTGCTGAAGATACCACATGCTGGGGTCATAGAACCTGGAGAAATCAAGCTGCTACTGACATATCTGAAAGTTTCCTTTCTACGGGCTAACTTTCATAGCACTGGAAGGCTCTGCTTACAATATCAGGGAACAAAAGTATTCGACCCTTACTCAGCTGTGGCACCTATGAACAATAGTAATCAGCCTAACAAGATATGCTCACCAGTGCAATAAAGGCACAAAAATTATGGAAGCAACTAGCCATTTCCTGATTAAATCTAAAGTCTGCTTCACAAGTCAAAATTTATGCCTGGTGCTGTTTGTTAACTGGAAGGAGAAAAATTCATGACAGGCTAGGTCATAAGCCCTAGAGAAGACCCTAATACTATTATTCTACTAAAAGGACATACTAATAAACTGATCCCTAAGTTCTTATATGATATCCACAGACCTGGGGATCTCTGAACACCAATCAGAGAAACTTCTTTTAGCAGTATATATTTAACATCCTAGTAAACATAGAGACCCATAAATAACTAATATGCAGAGAATAAAAGACTATGGGGTGCTCACCTCTAAGTGAGGTATTTGTATTATAACCTCACCTCCCAAGGTTCAGGAATCATCACAAAGAAGAGGGTGGAAACATTGTAAGAGACAAAGGCAGTGAGTGACTATGGGTAAACAGTTTTCCATGCATAACAGGACTGCTGTACATCTGAACTGAAAGTAGCTGAGGTCCTACTACTAATTGAGAAGCTCCTGACAATTGATAGCTACTAGGAGAAGGAGAATATGTTTGCTTCAAGTATGGAGGCCCTAAATGGCTGAACATGATCCAGTAGATGATCCTATACCCATCTACAGAGAGCACTAAACAGACACAGTAGTCTTTTTGGTTTGTTTGTTTTGTTTTGTTTTTAAATAGAGAAGAACACATAAAGTTCCAAGGGAAAAGTGGTAGAGGAATAAGGGAGAAATTAGTGAGAAGTGTGAGGTATATGTTTGATCAAAAAACATATTAAATATATGTATAAAGATTCCAAAAAATTAACAACAACAATTGGCAAATTTTAAATTTGGTCTGAAGGATCCAGGGATGGATATGTTCTGGTTTTGATGGTTGCCTATCATTTTGTAAATGTCTTTCTTGTTTATAGGGAATAGACATTCAATTACTCACTTTCATTTATGTGACTGGAAACTATGTAAAGAAAGGAGTCTATCGGTAAAGAGAGACTCTCTTAGGTCCTTATGTTTTACTTTTGACTTTGCCTCTAATTAAATAAGTGGTTGTACCCAGATCTTCAGATCTTCTGCCAAAGCCACTACTATAGACACACAACACTGTATATATGCATGTGCCATCAACAGGGCACAACCACCTGTTTTTCAGTTAGACACATTCTATAAATGATGGCATTTATCAGATCTTTGCCAAGATAAACAAAGTGGGATTAAAATGATGTTCATCCTACAAACATATATCATATTCATAGGCTTACAGCTCTTTTTTAAGCACAAAGAATCATTCTCAGTTTTTTCTTCTCTCCTGCTTTTCTTTATAGTACCTCCCCAGATAATGAACATCTCTTCAGACATTACTGTGAATGAAGGAAGCAGTGTGACCCTGTTGTGTCTTGCAATCGGCAGACCAGAACCAACAGTGACATGGAGACACCTGTCAGTCAAGGGTAAGTAAGGTATTTACCATGCAAAGTTTTGAGAGTGTATTCTAAAGGCCTACTTGGTTCTCATGCTATAGGGATATCAGCAACCAGAAAATAACATTGTATGTGAATGCATCAATACACTATCTCAAAAGCAATCTGTTTTATGTATCTGCTGGTGAGTGCCACATTCCAGGAAAGGAATTTGCATTAGAAAATTACCTAAATTGTTTGTTTAGTTTTCTCCATACATGGAAAGTCTTTGTTTTCACATTGAAAGGGAGAATGTAAGAGTAGCATTTGTTGATCGATAGTAACTTATACAGAGATGGATGTGTCCTTTCTTGTGGTGGTGGGTGATGGTGACAGAATGCCCTTTGGAACTTTGAAACTACCATACATGCACTAGGAAAACAAAACAAAACATGGATTTCAGTACTTTCAGGACAATTAATTATACAGAATCATACCTGTTGGCTCTGAACACAGAGTTTACCCTGAGGGGAAGAAGGGAAGTGGAGTAGGGGATTGCACTGAGCATGACCTTGCTGGGTTCTCAGCAATTGGTATTAAAACGTCAGTTACTACCATCTCTAACTTAGTATGAAGGAAATCTAAAGGACATGGGTCCTTATCTCCTTGGAAATAAAACTTGCTCCAACTTGAACTTTCAAAGATGGGCACAGAGCCATCTGTTATATTCGACTGTTACCAGAAACTGTGATTGATTCTTAAGATTACACAGGAATCAAGTGCTCCCTCAGGCATTAGAAAACCCAAACGTTAAACCAGTGGCCAGAAAAATACACACATGCCTGTGTGTAATGTAAAACTAATGTACATCTAAAAGAAAGCAAGGGAGTAAATCTTAGTAACCTTGAGAAAGGCAGAGATCTCCAAAACACAAAATTCTCTCTCTGAGAAGGAAAGAAAAAAAAGTAGCAGACTTTCGTGAGTTTCCCAGGGCTATCCTAGGCTAGTGTGAAAAAAAAACCTTATAACTGAAATGGAAATGTATTCCTTCCTAGTGCTGGAGGCTGTGTGTCAAAGGTTAAATTATGGCCAGGTTGATTCCTTTCCTTAGCTGTAATGAAGGATCTAGTACATCCCTCCTCCCCTTGTTTTCTATCAGTCAGGTATGCCTTAGTTTGTAAATGTGTCTCTTATATCTCTGCCTTCATCCTCAGTAGCATTCTCCTTACGTGTGACTTACGCAAGCTTCTCCTTTTTATAAGGTGATTAGCCAAATTCTACAGGGATCATAGCAATTAACACTTCTTGTTTGTTTATTTGTGTGTTTTACATGATTGTCTTTATAAAAACCCCATTTTCATCAAAACGTCAATTTGATTAGAAATTTAAGAAATCAATTTAAAAATTAGAAATCAATTTCAAAAGGTCTTTTAAAAAATTTACTGATGTCTGACAAAGTAATGGCACCAAATGTATATGAGAATTTCTAACATGGTCATAACAGTTCACCTAAGAATCATCAAAACAGATGTATGAACAGAAAACAAAGTATATGAAACTATGTCTAAAATCACTGTCATAGAACTAATAATCAGACAAAAATGAGATAACACTGTAGTAGAGCCATGAGACATCTCTATGGTAAAGTATGAGATACCACTGTGGTAGAGCACTGAGATACCACTGTGATAGATCCATGAGAAACCACTATTGTAGAGCCATGAGATACCACTACTGTAGCGCATGATATACAACTATAGTAGAGCCATGAGATACCACTGTGGTAGAGCCTGAGATATAACTACAGTAGAGCCACCAGAAAGACCAAAGCTCAATAGACTGAGAATATCAAGTGTTGGTGAGAAAGTTGGCCCCAGAAGTCAAAATAATTCAAAATGAGTATAACTTTACACTAAAAATAAGTACTGAGTATGCATTAGATTCTAACAAAATTTAAAGTATCCAGACATATAAGAAACAATGTCCTGATATCTTCTCCTAATTTGGGACATAGATCATATCAGTAACTCTGAAAGAGAGATGCTTTTTTAGTGGGAAACATCACCTGAACTGTTTTCTTCCATTCAAACTGAGAACATTCTTTTCTTTCACTCACAATTTCTAAAGAAAGATAACGCTAGTAAATCTGTTCAACATTTTGTATAAAGACTACAGATATCAAAACCTAAAATTTTCATATTATAACATCAACAAAAGCATTAAAACATGCACACAGTGGGCATTGCAGAGCTCAGCTTTGATGTAAGTGCAACCAGAGTGCATGTCCCTAAAGGCAAGAGCCCCAGGTGACTTTTGTCTAAAGCTGAAGAGAATTTATGCTTTATGTGATTGATAAGAATACGTCTAACCAGGATGCCAATTTCTATGCATTTTGTAAAGTTGGATGTATTTATAAATGCTTTAAATCCCAGAATATTCTTATTTGAACCCAACTATAGTTCTCTAAGCCTGGAAACATTGTAAAAGGCATTATGACTTTGTGTAAGTTTTTTGAAGCAATTCTTTCTAATGGTATACTGATAAGAGTTCCTTCCTTCTTTAAGAGAGAGAGAGAGAGAGAGAGAGAGAGAGAGAGAGAGAGAGAGAGATTCATTCATCTCCCAACCTTTTATATAGTGTAATAGTGCAATTCAATGTCAGAGAAAAAACAGCAAATTCTAAATTTAAATGCTGCCTGTGCTCCAGGAGTGCACTCCACTGTGAACAAGGGTTTATGTCCAGGCCTTTGGTCCACAAGTTTTCATGGCTACCATTGTCTTTACTTATCTGCTAGCAATGACGTTTAAACAGTTCAACTCAAGACATTGTCTCTGAAGTTTTAAAAGATCTGGAGAGTTTGCAAGTTTGAAATTTGCATCCGATGCATGGACCCAGTGTCTTCTCTGTTTAAAAAAATGTTGAGCTCTACTTGAAGTTAGAGAGTTGTTCTAAAGCTTTAGAGAAACATCCAGTACCTGTGAGCACCAAACAGTATATTAAGGGAGAACAAAGTATTGGTTTCTTGAGAGTGGAAGAGTAAGAAATAAAGGTTACAATCCCATTTCTTTTGACATTCCAATGGTGTTACACATGAGGATTAAATTCACTGAATAGCTCTGTTCCCCAAAGACTGATGCAATTCCTGAAATATATGACTTAAATTAAGGATTTACATAATTGGAATAAATAAACAAACCATTTAGGAAAAATATTTCAATGAACAGATGATTAAGGTCTAAGAATAATATTTATGCTTAGGTTTTAACATGCAAGTGTAAGCGAGGGTGTATAGATAGAATATGGATATGCCTTGTATGTCCAAAGCTCTGAGTTTGAAGCCCAAAGTCATAAAATGGGAGTCCAAGTACATGCAGCCAATTTTTAGAAATCATGGAAACAATTAAAAATAAGTGAATATGTACATCTATTACCACATGGGAGACTAATAATGGTAAGTATAATATATCCAAAAATATAAGAAATCTTTACAATAGAAAAAAAAACATGAGAAAAAGGTACAAAAGACAAAGCCAACCAACCAACCAACCAACAAAATCAACCAACGAAAAAAACATATAGCTCAAAGTAAGGGAATGGAATTACTTCCTAAAAGGATAGTTGAACAATGGATGATTGCAGGAAGAGATGTGCTGGTAAATGTTTATTTTAAAATGGTCTGGAAGTGAGGTGAGAGGAGGCAGCCTTGAATAGTGTTATCTGGGTCTCTTGGTACAAATATCCTGCATATTGCCACACTCCTATGAATCTCTCTGTAGTAACTCTACAATTCCCAGTCATTTTCTCATGAGACTCAACAACTATACCTAAGTAAGACAACACTCCAAAAGTGGCTGAGAGGTTTGAGGAATCCACCAGGAGCCAAATGTAGCTCTAAAGAATCACAGCTTCTCTAATTTCTATACTCAGTGAAGAGATGAATCCCTCCAGTCCTGTTTATTCTCTCGCATTAAAATTATGCTAAGATCCACAGAGACACCATTCCAGAACACAGGATACCTACAGTGCTTTCCAGGAAGCTGGACTCTTTACAGGATCATGTGTTATGACAACTTCAGGAAAAGTTTTCTGTGGATGTACATTTAAGTTTTCAAAGTGAACATATAAATCACCAAGCATATGACTGCATATCTTTAGATATAAAATGTTATTCTTAATGTTCTAAGTAGGAGATAATGGCTTAGTAGTAAAAACGTATTCTTATGAATGTGAAAGAGAATATGACACTTGCCCGATGCCTTTGCAAAAGTACATCTGCTGAATGGTGACATTCAGTGCAGGGCTAAGAAAGTGATTCATGGGTTTCTACCTCAAAGATTTGACTTCCACAGAATTAGGGTAGGAATGTTTCAAAACAGGTGAGCAAAGTGGATGAACAAGTGGCCAGTGTGTTTGCAGCAGGCTGTGAATGAGCTGGGTTTCAGGAATTATGTTCTGATTCCTTCTTGCAAAGGAGGAGAAGAGACATTGGGATCAGTAGAAGCATGGGGGTAGTTCTTCTGTTACAAGGGTGGTGTGAATACAAAGATCCAGGGATGGAAGCAGAGAAAGTACAGATAGACTTGCTATTCTACAGAGATCTGTGTTTCTTTCCCTCTTGTGATACCATACCAATCCACTCTGATACCTCACACCTGGCCCAATGTCTAATGACATACTTGGGAAGGACAGATGTTTGGTGAACATAATAAAGTCTTCTCTTCTGTCTCCCTCCACTGAGATTTTAAGATGACAGCCATTCACCTGTGAGTGAGTCGCTCACACAATCTACTCATACAGGGTAATACCTCAGGGAGCTAGCAGATGAATTATTTTTACAGAATTTTCTAGGTAACTGAAGCTGACTCCTTTATGCATTGACTTGAGTCATTTCAATGAAAGCCCCTTTTAAAAATGCAATGAGTTCTCCTGTGATTCTTCAGTCGAGTGGATACCAGTTAGCCTCACCTTTATAGTATCACATTTCAGCTCTACACATTTCAGTTGTTTGTACCTGAGCACTCAGTAACCAGGATAACTAGGAATATAGCCTT